TGAGAATTGATGTCTCTGTGTGTACTTCACGAATCTCAACAAAGCCTGTCCTAAAGACATTTATCCCTTATCACGCATCGACATCCTTATTGATGCCACTACAGGACACGAGCTCCAGAGCATTTTGGATGTTTATTCTAGGTACAACCAGATTAGCATGTTTCCTCCAAACCAAGAGAAAATCTCCTTCATCACTCTAAAAGGAACCTATTGCTATAGGGTAATGCCTTTTGGACTCAAGAATGCTGGAGCTATATACTAGTGCCTCGTGAATAAGATGTTTAAGGCACAGATAGAAAGTGCGACTTCAGTGTGAGCTCAGGAAAATTCCTAGGCTTCATGGTGAAAAAAAAGGTGTTAAGGCCAACCCAGACAAGATTAGAGCTGTCCTGGAGATGAAGTCCCCAACTTCTGTGAAGGAGGTCCAGCGCCTTAACGGAAAGATAGTAGCCCTCAACAAGTTTGTCTTAAATCAACAGACAAATGTTTACCATTCTTTAAGATTCTTCACAAATCCTTGTAGTGGGGACCAAACACAGAAGATGCCTTCCAAAATTTAAAGGCTTATCTTGTTACACCCCCTCACTCTCCCATGATGTACGAGGAGAGACCTTTGTACCTCTACGTCTCTTCCTTATTCTCTGCCGTGAGCTCCTTCCTTGTTAGAGAGGACGGAGGAATCCAAAAAGCCTGTGTACCATATAAGTAGGTCACACCGAGGAGTGGAGGTAAGATACTTAAAGCTGGAGAAATTGGCTCTTACACTTGTCACCGCCGCTAGACGCCTACGCTACTACTTTCAGAGCCACACCATCGTGGTTGTTACAGATCAACCACTCAAGAGAATCCTGGGAAAGTCAGATGTGTCTGGTCGACTCCTCAAATAGGTCATCGAGTTGAGCGAGTTTGATGTGCAGTACCAGCCGAGGACGACTATAAAGGCGCAATCAATTGCAGACTTTGTGGCTGAATCTACACCACTAAAACAATCCCAGGAAGAATCACCATACGCCTTGAGTCACCATGAGGCAAGCCTAAGCACCATCTCCAGAAAGCTTAGGGCCTTGGAAGAGGCCCCTAGGCCCCTAGAGTCCAGACTCCTACGGTAAAGGAGCCCAGTTCCCTTGCACATATTCCTCTAGAGTCCTCAGTGGCCTCATCTACTATGTTCCTGCCTAAATGCCCTGCTATGCCTAGGCAGGCATCCCAAACGAGCACTGTACCATACTAGAGACTATGTGTCAACGGATCCTCTACTAACGAGGATGGTGGAGTAGGGTTAGTACTAATCAGCCCCCATGACATCACTCCACTCAAATATGTTGTCTCCTTCCAGTTCGCAGCATCAAAAAACCAAGCAGAGTACGAGACCCTCATATCAAGTTTGAAGCTTTCAATGGAGATGAAAGCCCTTTGCCTGACTACTTATAGTGATTCTCAACTGATAGTCAATCAGGTGAAGGGAGACTTTGAAGCGAAGGAGAATAAAATGCAAGAATACTTGTTAGTAGCCCAGGATTTGATAAAAAAGGTTAACCACTTTCAAATCCACCATGTGCCTAGAGAGGAGAACACCATAGTAGATGCCCTCGCTAAGTTTGCATCTACAAACATACTCATGGACCAAGCACTGATATGCCACTAGTTCGAGCCAAGCAAGCACAATGTAGAGGAGGACGACATCAATTGTGCCTCCTCCGAAGCCAAGAGGATGACACCCATCTGAGCCTACCTAGAGGAGAGAACTTTCCCAGACAACCCAGTGAAAGCCAAAAAGTTGAGAATGAGAGCATTTAGGTACGTCATCCTACGTGACACTCTTTACAAGAAGAGTTATTCACTGTCACTGCTCCGCTGCCTCACCCCTGAGGAAGTCGATTTTGTCATGAGGGAAATCCACAAAGGGATATGTAAAAATCAATCAGAAGGGTGTGCACTAGATCACAAGGCAATAAAACAAGGAAATTATTGGCCCAGCATGATCAGAGACGCCTATGAGTTTGTGAGGAAGTATGACAAGTGTCAACGCTTTGCAATAGCGCCCAGACAGCCACCATAAGAGCTCACCACCATCTTGAGCCCATGGCCCTTCTCAATGTGGAGAATCGACATCCTAAGTCCCCTACCCATGAGTCGGGGCCAGTGAAAATTTGTGATAGTAGTCATTGACTACTTCACATAGTGGGTAGAAGTCGAGGCCTTAGCCAAGATAATGAACCAGAAGGTGAAAGACTTCATCTAGAGGAGTATAGTCTGCCGCTTTGGAATACTTCATGCAATAGTAAGTGATAACACCAAGTATTTTGACAACCAACTCCTAAACGGCTTCTGTGTAGACCTACAAATCAAGCAAACCCACTCCAACCCAGCCCACCCACAGGCGAACGAGCAGATAGAGGTCACCATCAGAATGATCCTCCACAACCTAAAGATCAGATTGGAAAGCGCTAAGGGGCGATGGATGGACGAGCCCATAGGAGTATTATGGGCTTACCAGATAACTCTAAGAAGCCCTACGGCAAAAACCCCTTTCTCCTTAACCTATAGGACAGAGGTGGTCATACCAGTCAAAATTGGGGTACACTCCCTTAAGGTCCAACACCATGACCCTACTACTAATAAAAAAGGCCTTTGCATCAACCTCAACTTGGTAAAGGAGGAGAAAAAGATAGTTTTAGTCAATTCTTTTTGTCTACTTCAAATTATGAAATAAAACTTTGCAAGATTATCTTTTTAAAAAACTCTCTCATTCCATAGAAATTCATAAACCATGTACAAAAGATAGCAACCAAAAGAGAAACAAAAAGATAAGTGTTATAGTCTTGACATCATTCACTACTCCTCAATCCACTCTCATCAAAACCCTCCCCATCACTGTCAGTCCCTAGTGTCTTATATGGAACAAAGCTAGAAAAGTTAAAGGTAGGAAAAGCTGCTGAGACCTTCTCATTAAGTTCCTCATAACCATCGATAAAGGTGCCGACAACGGCCTTCTCAACAGCCTCCCTCCTCTTCTCCATCTCAATGGAATGAGCCTCTGTCATGGTAGCTCTCTCAAGAGCTGCTCGAAGGTTAGCCTTTGTCACGGTAGCCCTTTCCCGAGTTATTCGTAGCTTGGCCTCAGCTTCAATAGCCCTCTCACAAGACACCCATATCTCTGCCTTTATTCTCGCGTGAACAACCTCTCTGTCAGTCTCCAACTGGGCAGCTATCTCGTAGGACACCAAAAGCTCGGCCTCAAGAGGTGTCGCTCTCTCATGAGTTAGCCTCAACTGCTCCTCGGCAGCCTCTCGTGCCTACCTCTCTAGCCTCAACTGCTCCTCAGCAACCTCTTGTGCCTGCCTCTCCTCTCCCAGAGCTATTAATGCCTCTCCAAACTTAACTGTCCTCAAAAAGAGACAGGGAAAAATAGGAGTCACCTACAAGCATTCGAAATGTAAGACATGAGGAAATGGAGGCGGGTACAAAATCAAAGTTAAGAAAAAGGTATAACATGGAAAACGCCTCCATCGCGATATTAATGATGCCCTTTGAACCACGAGACCTGACCTCTTTGATATCCGCAGCGGTCACAAACCCCCAAAGCCACTCCTTGGCTAGATTCACATCTTGCAACATGGATGTTGAACCACTGGTAGAAGTAGAGCAGTTGTGTGGAGCTCCGGTCCCCATAGAAGACAACACTGAAATCTCAATTCCTATTGCCATACTAGGGCTAGCTCTAGGATGCGCAGGAGTCACAGCCGATAAAGGAGTGGGGGCACCACCGGGTCCTGCCTCCTGGGAAGCAACTTGGCCAATGGATCTCGACCGAGAAACACTGGGGGCATCAGACTTCGTCGTCTTAAAAGAATAAAGGGAAAATGCCACCCTAGAAGCATAAAGGGCCTCCACCATCATTCTATCAATAGTGGAACTATGGAACTAGTATAAGACGAAGAACCTATAATATTAAAGTCATCAAAGTTTATCGAAAGGATCAAATATCTTTCCTCTTTTGCCTAGGGGAGGCTCTGGGATGACCCGCCGCAGACATGATGGCCAAAAACTCTTTGAAATGATGGTCCCGCACGACCTGGAACCTACTCTCCTGCTCTACAGATAACGTGGGTGGAGTTGCAAAGGGACCAAGCACACAGTAAGTACATATACATGACAATTAGATATAAAGGCAAAGGTAGAACTCTTACCTAGCTTGGTCTTCGGAATAGTGTCCCACCTTGAAGGCACTAAATCACGATCTTCCTCAGTAGCCCACTCACCTCCAATAAAGAAGAACCTAGACTTCCAACTGTGGCAATTCAAGGGCAATAATAAACTTGCCCGATCTCTGGGCAAAGCGGTACCACCCTTGATGAGGAGTAGGGTTATCCAAAAGCACGTATAAGGCCAAGAAATCCTCAAAAGGAGGAGGGACGTCAGAACCGTGGACTAACCGCCATAATGAGAAGAATGCTAGAATCATTCTCCGGCCATTGGGAGTCAACCTCCCTGGAGCCAATGATAAGTGACCCAGAATCCTAAAAATGGACCCAAGTATGGGAAATCTAAGTCTTGCCACTAGAACGTTCTCGCAAAAAACAAGCTCTCCAAAAGAGTCGTAACACACGGGCTTGACCCTCTCGGCCTGGCAACACATGATAGCAAGAGGAATATGGAACTGACAAACAATGCAAGCAATATCGACATCACAATCAATTGAGCTAAAAATAGAGGTTACCTCCGAATTGTGCCCCACAGCGGCCCCTTTGTCTCGCTGAGAATGTTGTGAAGCATGCTTTATCACGCCTTTGTCAGATTGGGGGAGCCTGCCAAAAAATAGAACCGATATCAAGGAAGTCTCAATATCAAGTAGATGCCAAAAAAAGAAATTCAAGTGGTCGCCTCACCTTCATGAGGTCTCACACCTAACCCGCTGGAGCAGTCTGGCTTGCGCGCACGCCATCGCTAGAGCAGCCTAGCTAGCGTCTATCGTCGCCCACATCGTGCCCACCTTCCCTATGCTCATTGCTCGTTTGCGTCTAGCTAACATCGCCCAGCAAGCTGGCGCAACCCAGTGCTCCAAGTACGATGTCGCCTCTAAGCACGGTGTCTCCTCCAAGCACAATGCTGCCTTCAATCACGACGTTGCCTCTTCTCCCAGCTCTTTCGTCATTGCCGTTGTCACATTGGGCATCGCCTTTGTGGGCGCCGCCATATGGGTAAGTGGGTTGCGTCTAGCCTCACCATGGCTTTGCCTGGGGCTTCGTCAAGCGTGGGTAAATGATCGCCTAACCTTGATCCCACCGTGTCAGCTTGCTTTGTCGTTGAAGCCTCCATCTCCATTTTCTTTTGCGAAGCTCCTTGCACTAGAAAATTCTTCAAGAGAAAGAAATGAGGAAGACAGATGGAAGAATAAAGGATTCTCTCAAGAGTTTATATATACCCTGGCCAATAGGCAATGCCCTAGAAAAAAGAAGGTTTTGACTGCTAGATCTAATGGAAGATTCAATGAATGAGATTATATGCTACTACGATTGTTGTCTAATCATGAAATAACCAAATGAAGGATGAAGGGACGAACCATGGGGCACAAGATACCTATTTGCCTGAATGAAGAGTTCACGCATGCCCTCAATCTCCTTGACACCGCAAGGACTTGGGAAATGGGAGGCAAATGATGACCCAAAATCTAGCTGGGTCTAGACCCAGTACATGGGTGAGCCCAAATTTAGCTGGGTTTAGGCCCAATATATGGGTGAGCCCAAATTAGTTAAAAAGTAGGTCAAGCCCAACTCATGGATTCGGCTCAATCCAAAGTTCAAGGAGTCCAGAAAGATTAGCGTACATGGAGAGTAATTACCGAGATAGTCACTCTCAAATATCAAGACTATCTCTAATTGTACATATCATAGTTGTAGCTATCCTCCCCGAAAAGCTAGTAACCTACCCTCCACTACCACCGCTTCAACTAAGGCTTTGTGCCTATAAATTGTAAGCCTTCTACACATGGGGGACATCTTTTTACACACCTTTTACACAGCTACTTCTCTTATAGCTACCTAGAGTTACCCTTACTATTTCTCTTTCCCACCTTTTACTTTATTAATAAAGTTCTCCAGCCACCGTCGCCGCCTTCAGTGGTTTGGTCACCTCGGTCCAACCACCCATTCTTTGCCTTTTGATATTGATTTTTTTATTAAATGCTTCATTAATTTCCTTGCATCACATACTTGACTGTTAATTATGCATAGCCTATTTTGTGCATCATCACATTCTAGTGAAAAAAATAATGTATGTAATGACTGGTAATCATGAATTTTATAAGTGTTTTGTAAGTACAGAATGCTAATTAATATGGGTTTACTACAATAATTATAGTCTTTTGAGACAAGTTTTTGTTACATCAGTGTTCACCATAAAAAAAGGTGTGTTTTGGAGGAAATTTTCTTTTTTTTTTTTTTGTGGCAATACTGTTGTTATAAAAAATTTATTTGTTGTTGCAAATATTATTTGAAACGAGATATTACCCTGACAAAAACTTTTTGAGACTACACTTATTACGGCAAGGTATTGTCACGACATGCCTCACCATAATAAGTGTAGTCTCAAGAAGTTTTTATGGCGGTAACTGCTACCTCAAATAGTATTTATGACAGCTACTAAACCTTTTATTACAGCAATACCGCCATAAAAAAATTTTCAAAGCATGTTTTTTGTGACAATAAACACTACCACCGCAAACAATTTATCTCAAAAACCCTAATTGTTGTTGAGATTATTTATAAATGTAGAGGTGACTGTTCGGAATAGCCCCTATTGATCAAATGCAACTAAGAAGAAGTCATTCATGCATGTCCATTAATGAACAAACAGAAACCAATGAGAATTTGAATTCCAACGAGCAACAATTAAACTCGAGTTAAGAAATTAAGGACATTATCAAAAGAATTGTATCTAAAAATATAAGATTGGACCCATCCACACGCACGACTGAGCTTAAGCCCGAGCCTGGCCAGGTAGCGATGCATGCGCACGTGTGTGGTCGAACCCAAATCCATTTAGGTTCTTTGTCGTCCACAAAAGTGGGATGCCCTTTTGGACCCAACCCAAAGTGCAAACATGAGATACATATACTCACCAAATTATTTTTGGCCAACCAATGTGAAATTTGTATCAAATCCTACTTTGTCCCAACCTTTATTTCCACATTGTAAGAGTATCATTTTGGAGCCTATTTTCTCATTTAGCACTTACTCTATTTGAACAAGCGAATATACTACGTTTTTCTTCTCGCAGAGTACATAAAACACGAACTCACAAAGTTTTATTCAAACTCATAAGTGAGTCCCACTTTAATTTAGGCTCAAAGTCTACAAAAAAAAA